AAAAAAAAAAAAAAAAAAAAAAATTGTTTTTACAGGTGGTCTAAAGGCTTCTCTAGCTCTCATTTTAGTCAGAAGTATTGGACTGTACCTAGACTTTGGAACTAGGCATGAATTTTTTTTTTTTTGGTACCAGGGATTGAACTCAGGTCCTTGTCCTTGCAAGGCAGGCGGTGGAACCACTGAGTTAAATCCCCAGCCCAACATGGATTTTAATTAGTTTCCTGGAATTCACAAGCTATAGTGAATTTAGGCAAGCCATTTAACATCCCAGAGCTGCTTTCCTTCAGTTCTTGCCTTATAAGGGATAGAGAAAATTCATTTAAAGTACTTTACACATAGAAGACATTGGTAAATTCAGTTGTTTTTGATGTTATGATAATAATACTACCTAAAATTTAGTGGGGTCTTGAGTGTGGTAGACACTGCAGTGGCTGTATTTCATGCATTCTCCCATTTATTCCTCGCAACTACTCTGAGTAGGCGGGGGGGGGTGTAGAGAGATTAGTTACATAGCTAGTAAATGGAGAAGCCATGATTCAAACTCCAGCAATTCGAAACTACATGATTACTTGTAATGATACAAGTGTTCTCATCTTTGCATGGTACTATTGACATTTTGAGCCAAATGATATTTTAAGAGTTTTATAATATGAGACAGTATCTTGCTATGTTGCTCAGGCTGGCCCCAAGCTCCTGAGCCAAGCCATCCTCCTGCTTCAGTCTCTCTTCTGAGTTGGTGTCTTATAAGTTGTTCAGGCTGGCCTCATATTTCAGGGCTCAAGACATCTTGTTGCCTCAGTCTCCCCAGCAGGTGAGATTACAGGTAGGTGTCACTGCTCCCAGTGAGATAATCCCATCTCTGCTGCTAGGTACCAATAATAGCTGCCCCCCATGACAGTAGTGACAATAAAAAGTGTCTGTAGATATTGCTACATGTTCTCTAAGGGACAAAAATGTCCTGGTTGAAAACCACAGTCATAGAAGAAGAGCATGTTTGGGAGAGAAGAGAAGGAAGTGATCTTGACATAGTTGAAAATACGCAGTGGGAACTTAGGAAAAAGGTCAGAACTAAAACTGAAGTATGAAAGTCACTATGAAGTGGTAGTTTATTTTCCTAGAAGGAAAAAAGTATATAGTAAGAAAGATCAAGAAAAAAAAAAAATGGCTGGGGATGGAGTGAGTGACCGCTTAGTAGCTGAAGAGGGGCCAGAGATCTAGTGAAAGAGAAGGAACAGTCTTAGGATGATTTAATGACCGTAAACTCTGGAAACTTAAAAGAAAATTATACTCTGCATTAAAATAATTAAAAAGTATTAAAGGGAATAATAATTTGGCTTTGATCTTTATCAGTTGTACTATTTTAATGTCATCTTTTTGTCCCCATATATGCTTTTCTTTGAGTTAATATTTTATTTTATGATAAAAGACATAATGAAATTTTTATAAAGAAAATAATTTTTATTTCAGGTTGTCGAGGTGCCCAAGTAGAAGAAATATGGAGTTTAGAACCTGAGAATTTTGAAAAATTAAAGTAAGTAAAATTTTAGTTGTGTTAAACATTTAGTGCTATATTTTGGCAGAATTCTTAGATCTGTGTTTATTTTACATGAATTACCCAAGTTTGAGCACAATATCTTGTCTTTTTTCAATCATGTGAGATAGGTACTATTGCAGTTTTATAGGCAAGAATTTAAAAGTTCATGTATACGTAACTTGCGAGAGATTCAAACTTAAGTTTCTGTTTTATATTCGCAAAGTACTGACAGGTTGATTTTTCACAAAATTCACCATAAAATAATATGAATAATAGGTTAGTCTATAAAAACATATTTAATAAATATTGATAGTAATTTAGTCATCTGGGTGTGGTGGCCTACCGCTGTAATCTCGGTACTCTTCACTCAGAACCCTGTCTCAAAAAAGTAAAAAAGACCGGGAATGTTTCTCATTGGAAAGGCCCTGGCTTCACTCTGCAGTTCCCCAAAAACAAAAGTAAAAAAAGAAATTATCTACACATTATCACATTGTTTCTTGGGACAGATACAATTCAAGTTGCAAATGTAGATGTTGGGAAGAATTTTCCCCTTCCTTATTTTTGATTAGAATGACTGCTTAGAGCTAAGCATTTTCTGTGTATCTGCAAAATTCTTAGAATGGGGGACAAGGTATATAGTCTTTAAAAGGGAAAATGGAGATTAAGGAAGAATGTGCCTACTCGTTTCAGTAGTAATGAATTGGAGTGCTTCCTCTTACAATTTCCCCACCAAAAAAAAAAACTATTTTAAGTGAAATAACTTGTGGCTGAGATTACAGAAGGTTAATTAAAGACACAGTTATATCATTTGATCTGTCTTTAGAAAGATAGGAAAGGTTCTAGAGCAATAGCTTGGTGGTGGAGTGCTTGCCTCTTATGAGCAAGGGCCCAGGTTCATTCCCTAGCACTGCAAAATAAAATCTGTTTAAAAGGAAAGGAAATATTTTTGTTGAAGGGAAGGAAACTGTAAAACACTGGAGGAAAGTAATGATTTAACTTTGCAAGTTCATCAGTGGTTCCATTAGGAATGTGAATGACTTTATTATGTATAAGATGACTGCAGCCATTCATACTACAGTTTGAGTGTTTTATGTGAATCTAATAATTATATAAAGGTGACTTTATTTAATAATATACATGATATCAGTCATTTACCTTTAAACATCCTGCAACTTTATGTATTTTGGAATTCAGTCTAAGGTTAGTAGCTTCTAGTTTGGCTATGCTCTTAATTTTCTATTTTTAAGTGCAGTGATAGAAGGTAAAAATGAAAAGTATACAGATTTGAAAAATAAAACAAATTTATTATGTTTTTTTGTTTTGTTTTGTTTTTTGGTACTGGGGATTGAACTCGGGTCCTTGTTCTTGCAAGGCAGGCCACCGAACCACTGAGCTAAATCCCCAGCCCAAAACAAGTTTATTATAATTCTATCTTAACTGATGTAATTTTTAGTTTTATTAGTCTCTGACAATATTTTAGTGACTAGACGATAGCAATTTAAAAAAATTTACCTACTCATTTAATTAGTTTATTTCATTTGCATTGTACTCATTAAATATATACTAGCAGTGTATTATCAAAGACTCATGGTTTGGTGTCACTAATTATAATTTACTTTTTTTTTTTGTAGGCCAGTTCATGGGTTAATTTTTCTTTTCAAGTGGCAACCAGGAGAAGAACCAGCAGGCTCTGTGGTGCAGGACTCCAGACTTGACACAATATTTTTTGCGAAGCAGGTATGGTTTTAGGGTGCTCTGAAAAATCTCAGGAGCCAAGAGGCTTCATCTGTGCTTTTAAGATTGCAGGCCTTAAACTTTTGTCCTAAAGCCTCTTTACACACTTAAAGAACATTTCCCCCAAAGCTTTTGTTTATTGTAGTGTCTATCAATATTTGCCATATTAGACATTGAAACAAAAACATTTAAAAGAATTTATCAATAGATTTTAAAGTAGCAAGAGTTGCTACGTTAATATAAATGATTTTTTTGTTGATGGTTAACCCCAGGGTCTCATGCATGCTAGGCAAGTACTTTATTATTATTATTTTTTTTTT